GGGGGGAAATGGGTTTGTAATTTATAGGGACGAATCAAAGAGACTGCTATGAACTTCAGTTAAAGTTCATCCCTTGTATCTAAACAACAACAACAACATAATAATAATAATAGTAATAATAATTCCCCTATCTCCTCCCTTAGTGATTGACTTGGGCCATGGACAGTTGGAAAGGGAAGGAGACGGGTTTAATGCTTGTTTGGAACAACAAATTTTAAAATTATTTTTCTCAAAAGTCATTTTGGCTCGGGCCATCGACAAGTGGGAATGGGAAGGAGATGAGTTTAATGCTTGTTTGGAAAAAAAAAATAAAAAATAAAAAAATCTTAAAGTTATTTTTCTCCAAAAATCATTTTGAACTACAAATTCTGTGGAATCCACAACCATTTTTTTTTTTTTTACACTTTTCAATCACATTAAAGAACAAAAAAATTTATTTTTCTCACTTGAAAGAATCAATGCCAGCAAGCTATTAGATTTTTTTAAAATTTTCTTTTTAGTTTTTATTTTAAAATTATTTGTGGTTACATATTGTACCCTTCTAAACAGTATTCACTTGGATTGCATGTGCATGTTTAACTAGAGAAATTTTGATTGGACAATCCTATATGCACACGCGATAAAACAATTTATTTATATCACAACACTTCAAACCTCAAGCTATTCAAACCATGACGTTACAGTCACCCCGATTTTTTTTCTCTCTTTTTTGGTGTTTAGCATTAAATTAGACATAAAATGTCAAATGAGAACCAATTAAGGTACAAAATCTAAAGATTGGGAATAACTCTGTCAAAAAACAGATTGAGGGTCACATTGCATTAATATTAATAAATTGGAGACTAGTTCTGTAATACAATATTGATATATTGATCAATTTAGTTTCATAGTTTAAAAAAATCGGTGTTTGACTATCTATATATAAAACGACTTCATCATTTTGGGTTCAGTGCAATTCGATTGTACTAAGAAATGAAATGAATTGATCGAAATTTGATTTCTTTTATAGGAAATTAAATCTTCTCCATGAAACAAAGTCGAAGAGAACCACATTGGACAAAATTCAAATTGTTTTAGCATTAATCAAACTTTGCTAGTCCAGACCTTTTGGTTTGGGGCTTGCCAGAGGACTAGATTCGGCATGAGTTAGTTAAAATTTTATACTTTTTTAAAAAATAAAAAAAATAAATACTGACTTAGATTTTCAAGTTCAGGGTTAATTGTAAATGTTGTGAATGCGCCTTAGACTTTAATTTCAACTTAATAGTTATTTTTCAAATGATGGAATGATTGTAGTATCAAGAACGTTATATTCTTCATATTAGAACTTTTTTATTGTCCCATCTCCCGCAATTCACTTTGTTCCCTATTTCAGCAACTCGGCCCCCTGAGAATGTTTTTTTTTTATTTTTTCGTAAAACACCTCCAAATGACTAAGAAACGTCTCAAGGAGAAGAGCGGAAATGTTGAAATAGAAAAGTCTGATCGGAGGTCTTTTACAATTAGGGTCTCCTTTAGAAGGCACTAAAGAATGCATTGTTAGATGTCACAATAAATTTTCAAACAAAAACTTTACAAGCAAAGAAGGTGACCAAATTGAAAAAATATAGAGTGTGGTTTTGGGTTACAGCCTATTTAATTATACAAATTTGGGTCTCCACGAGATGGAAATTGTACCAATGTGGATGCTAAAATCCCATGGCAAACCGTCAAATCACATAACGTTCAACTTCAAGTCGCGTGATGTTGAAGTTTCAGTCATGTAATGATTTAGATTCATAGGTTTAAAAAGATGGGTAAATGGCAATGTTTTTAAAATCGGATCGGACATTGACCAGGAAAAGAGAAAGAGTCAAGGGTCAAAAGGTTCAACCGAGGTTAAACCGGAAGTAATAAATAGATATTTTTAAACATTTTAATTTATTTTGACAACAATAAGTTTTGAACAATAACCTATGTTTTTATTATATAATAATTTTTTAAAAACGTTTTTGAACAATAATAGATACCAAAATTAAATAATAAAAAATAAATCCAAGTATTATAACAATAATATATTTATTTTAGCGTTACTAGTTCAAAGTAAGTTTAATCTACATTTGTTAATTAGATGCATTATAATATAATTTATTTTAACACTTCAAAAATTGAAATAATTTGCTGTTGTCTTTATTCAAATAAATCCATTTGTTTGTTTTGCAATTGGAAGTCTGTGTCCCACATCGGTAATTGAATGCAAATGTGGAGAGAGACATGTCTTTAAAAGGAAGTGCTTGCCACCAACTCAAGAAAGTATAGTATGGGCTTGTAGTTGTAATCCATGATCCCATTAAAGGAGTTAAAATTTTTGATAAACATAGTACATAGGAACCAGTCAAATCGAGAACGAATTTTCGATTTACGGGTAAATCGCTCGGTTCTATGGTTTGTTGATCGGATTTTCCTTTTCCGATTATTGTAGTTTGCTCAGATTGAATTTTAGGTCGGTTCAAGGTTTTCCCGATTAAACTGGTCGGTCTGGTCCGATTTTAAAAACATTGGTAAATGGCACAAAAGTCTCTACATTTTAATGTTATTGTGCAAAACGTCGCAACCTTTCATTTTTTGATATTTTTACCCCTATTTTCACCTTTCATTGAGCAAAAGGTCTTTTTTATCATTTTTTTCAATAAAAAGACAATTTTACCCCCCCTCCCCCCCCTTCAAATAAAACAAAAAGGAAAGAATAGGTAAAAAAAGGGCTAATTGCAACTATAGCCCCAAAATTTTCAAAAAATTACAAATCAATCCCAAATATATGCTTGAAAATGAAAGGTTTGGTTTTTGTTTTTGGTATTTGTGGGTAAACCTTGCCGGTGAATGGAGCATTTCCGGCAATTTAGCCAGTGGTGGGTGGTGGTTTGAGTATGGACCGTGGGTGGCTCCATTTTCAGGGAAGGATGGTGTTTTTTTCCTTCTTCTTCTTCTTTTTTATTTATTTATTTATATTTTTTATAAGTGTATATTTGTGACTGGTTTGTAATTTTTTTTAAAATTTGGATTATAGTTACAATTCGCTCTTTAATTTTCTATTCTTTTTTTTTTTATTTGATTATGGGGTGAAATCATCTTTTTATTGAAAAAATGAATGAAAATGACTTTTTGCGCAATAAAATGTGGAAATAGGGATAAAAATACCAAAAAATGAAAACGTTTTACACAATAGCATTGAAAGATATGGACGATTTGTGCTATTTACTCTAAAAAGATTGGGATCCTGAATTTTGCTTTTTAAGGTTAAGGACCCAAAATTAGACTATATAAAAGGTTGAGGAGACCTTAATTTTCTCATGTTAAAATTATAGTGTGACCTGAATTCCTTTTGGAATGTTATTTGGAATCCTATTCGAAGTTTATTTAAGAAATTCTTGTCAAAATTCTCTTTGGAAGCCAATTGGAAGTTGTAATTTTTGTTGGATTTGAAGAGAACAAATTATGGATAGGGAAGAAAAGTCGCCACAATATTCACTAGCTAGCCGTTAGCTTGGGCTTGAGCAACGTCGCTAAAATCTCAATAGAGACTTGGCGCCTACCTAGAGCTTGGGCGGTGGAGCTATTCCTCGCCTAGTGCTTGACCGACATAGTTATCCTACCTAGGCTTGTTTTGCCTTTTGATGCATTTTGAGCATTCTTATCCATCTATAACTCTACAATTAGGGTTTGGACATCTCATATATGTTCCTTATATATATTTGGGCCTTCTCTACAATTCAGTAAGAGTTGTTTAACCTTATCTGTAGTTAGAAACCTTGTAAACACAGAATATTTGTATTCTTTGTCCATATTATAATAAATTTCATATTCTGTGCAAATTACATTGATTTTGTATTTTGGTGATCTTTATTTGCATATTGTGCTTATAATCTCATATTTTCTCCAACGAATTAGTATCGTA